TTGCTGATTACGGTACGTCTGCTCTTCAAATTAATAGATTAGGAAATACGTTGAATGTGAGAAACGGTGGTAGAAAGTTGAGTAAGAATTACTTATGCTTGATTGATAGAAATATATTTGCGCCATTAAAATGAGGGAATTTCAAACCATAAAAATTAGGCTAGGAAGGATATGCTGAAATGCTTTTTATATTATAAAATATTCGAAGCAGCTTTTGCTGGCTTTCTAAATGCAGAGTTGCGTGTTCGGAGTCGTATGAGTACCCTAATTAAACACATCCTTGCATAATCTGTGCTTCCTTAGGGGTCCGGAATGTAGAAGACTAAAATGATCCAATCAACTACTTGGAGGAACGGTAATATGGGAAGTCAGAAGGATTTAGGTGTACACAGACATGCGGCTGCAGTAAGAAGCAGTGATGGAAGGAGAGTAGTATAATGGCGGGAACCAATAAGGTGCGCGGAGTCTGTGTAACCTAATAAAAGAAACACCCCGATGGGATGCGGCCAAAAAACAACGCTAGGGCGGGAAGAGGAGGCCGTGGAAAAGCCAGTTCGGCTGTGAGTTTGCTCTATTTGGTACCTTGTAGGATATCAATTAAGGCTCGATTGGTGCCAAGGCTTTTATTTTTCCTCGTAGGAGACTACAGCAGTGTAGGTTTAGTGGTAGGATCGATACGACTAGCACGAACGTGAACGGTCTCGAAGAATAATTCAGAATGAAGGACGTTCATAGTAGCTTGTGTAAAATAGGGGCGTTGACATGCAGCGAAACTATTCGGATCAATAAGTAAGAGATAGGAAGGATTACAACAAGATAATATTAAATCGAAGGCATGAAGACCAATATGATGTGGTCTTTTGCGTGGTCGTAGTCTCCTTTCGTTGTATAGTTGTTTGACCTTGTTTTCGCAACTTGATCATATTGGTAGGAAGACCTAATACCCATTCTCATATCCTCGTATCACCCTTTCACTATCACAATTTATACTTGCTAATTTAATGTGTCCTTTTAAGAGGATTTCGCGAGATCTCTCTACATTCCACTCTGGCTTTCTCACACCCTCTTACTCCCTTTCACTCTTGTGCTGGAAATATGGATTAGATTCTGCCATATTGTTCCACAGTCCTCTCATAGGTTTTATCAGTCTCCCTCTTGTCCCGTAAGATCCATCTGCCATCTACCTGGTTCAAGTATTTCACTCGACCCCCGCCACCCTTTATGTGCTACTCAGGGCGTTATTTCCTACACTCTGCGTCTGGGAGACTAACTTTAAGCTAAAGACACCGAGTAATGGTCAAGCCTTTGCTTCATGGACCATGTTTATGATCAAACACGTCCAGTCTTAGCCAACTAGCTCTAGTCTCCGCAGCACCTATCGTGCTTCTATCATAGTGCCAAGTCTATGATTTCCTATGCCATTCACTTGTCTGCCAACCCACAAATGTTGTGGTTTAACATTGAAACTAATATAAACAAGTAGAGCCACAACATTTGTGAGTTGGCACACACGAGACTAGGGCATAGAAAGTCATAGACTTGGCACTATGGATAGAAGCACGATAGATTCGGCGTAGACTAGAGATAGTTGGCTAACAGTAGACGTGTTTGATCATAGATGTGGTCCATGAAGCAAGGGCTTCACCATAACAATTACTCAAAGCTTTAGCCTCAAGTTAGTCTCCCAGAGGCAGAGTGTGGGAAATAACGCCTTGAGTAGCACAAATGGGGCGACAGTGGTCGAGTGAAATACTTGAACTAGGGAAATAGCATACAGATTCTACGAGACAAGAGGTAGAATCTGATTAGACCTATGGGAGGACTGGGGAACAATATTGCAGAATATAATCAACATTCCTAGCACAAGGGTGAAAGGGGAGTGAGAAAGCCAGCGTGGGGTATGGAGAGATCTCGTGAAATTCTCTCAAAAGGGCACATTTAAATAGGCAAGTAAAAAATTATGAGTGAAAGGATGATACGAGGATATGAGATTGGTCATTAGTACAGGGCGGAAGGAGAGGTAGCAAGATTGTTTAGCAGGAAATTAGTCAAAGGATCGGCTTTACTTGTCTCTTTGACTAATTGTAGTGTGGTGCTAAGAATGGCAATGCTCACTGACGATGACGACTACGATGCTGGCGAAACATCTGGGAAATGATCATGCATACTATGGACTTCAGACTAGGTGTGTTCCTCTAGGCTTTCCTACCAATATGATCAAGTTGCAAGAACAAGGTCAAACAACTTCTAATAGTATAGTTAATTTGAAATTCGGTACAACTAATAAACTGAATTAACTCAATATGAGGTGATAGTTTTTAATGAGCTTCTATTGGCACAAAACCAGTCCTTTCGCTAATGTTTTGAACAGGGCTTGTTGGCTTTAAAATTCATTAATAAGTAAAGTCCGAGGACCGCATGAGATAAGCAAAAGTTGTAACAGTAAAAGTTTGGATACAATCGTAAAAAGCAATAAATACAAATCAAAGTTACTGAAAGCAAAATCCGTTTACGCGCTAGTTCTATTTTTATTTAAGGGAATACGGATATTCATCGAAGTCGAACAAGCTAGCTAAAGATAAGAAAATCGAAGATATGAAGACCAAGATGGTGTGGTCTTTGGTATGGTCGCAGTCTATTCTTGATGCATACAAGTGGACTGACCTCGTTTTCACAACTTGGTCGTGTTGTCAAGGCGACTTATTTGGACGCACCTTGTTCAAAGTCCTCTATCATAGTAGTTATCATAACTCCCAGAGTCGGACCATGGACTTGATCATTTCGCCATCTTCATAGTCGGCATCGTGGGTAAGTGTTGTCATTCTCAGTACCAAGTTACATCTCTTCGCAGAGACAAGTGAAGTGAATCTCGACCTACTCTTTGTTGTGCCATTCCTCCTCTTTCTGTCCGTACCTTCTTATCTCACTCCTGTCCTATCACAACTTTTGACTTATCTATCTTCATTACCTTAAGAGGTGACGCCACCACATCTGCCTTTTACCTCTCACTCGATTTGCTAATCCGACTCGGGTCTCATATCCGTATCTCCCGTACGGGCCTGTGGATCCGTGTCTTAGCATTCTGTCTCTTTGCCTCTGACGAGTTGTAACTGTATGATGAGAATGGCAGGGCGCATTGATGATGCGGAGAAACGTCTGGGAACGTACCAAATCTACGGTCCGAAGATAGGAATTATGATAACTACTATTTAAGAGGACTTTGGACAAAGTGCGTCCAAGTCACCCTAACAGCATGACCAAATTGCGACAACAAGGACAGCCCATAGTAAGATAAACTTGCCTTTAAACATGGAGGGAATTCAACAAATCATGATATGAAGAGAAGATGGGTTTCGAGGAATCCCTTGGTAGATTGATACTGAAATACCTTTTATTTAGTTTGAGAAGGCGAGTGAAAGGGATTCGTATATTGGCCTCATCTGATATCGAAGGAGGGTTGACTTGAAATCTTGTCTGATGAATTGTTAACACTTTAAAATTACTAAGAGATAGGGTGGAAGGAAACGAGTAGTTGGGACAAAACAATGAATTAGACAACTCTTCGTCCAGGTTCTAAATGCTACCATCCTGCAAGATTTCAAAGAATATAGGCGAATTACTGAGGAAAATGAACGTTGGGACCATGTATAAAGAAACAATAACGTTTTCCTCAGGCCTGCTCTAGTTTAGATAATCTTTAGACGCCCTCTGCAGATCAGGTTGTTATAAGTTTTTGTGATCAATTGGGAATGTTTATGTGGGACAGACTTGTCGACCCATGCATAAGAGGATTTCAGAGCACAGAATCGGCTGCAAAGTTTATGGATTCAGAAATCGGAAGTGGCTAAACATGTGGATACTACAGAACACTAGATGAATTGGTCTAAATCTCAAGGTTTTGCCGTATATGGGAACTTCACAACTAAACAGAGGATCAAGGAGTCAATTGAAATTAATAAAACAAAGAACAGCTTGAATAAGAAGAATGAGTATCAGAATTTATGTAAGAACTATAACTGGCTGCTGAATAGAATGAGAGAGAATGGGAAGAGCCACTGAGTAAAAGGAGAAAATTTAACTAAGCTAGAGTCTGGTTTCGGACCTCAAATTTGCCAATCAACTCATGAATGTTGCACACACACAACGCACACGTATCCAAGAAGCTACAACAAGCCCCAGGATTATAGAATAATACGCTAGTTTATTTACATAGATACAAGTTCTGACCACATTCGTTCCCCTTCTTGCATCACTTTCACTCGTTTACATGCATGTAAGACAAGCATAAAGCAGCCAGCCAAATCACGGAACACCTCATTATGATCGCAAAGTGAGGTATAAGAGGGAAGTAAGATCTCAGTCGACCATCTTTTTTGCTTTAGTGCTTTTAGGCTATTATTTGTGAATAGTGGTTTCTGGCTCCGATGCCAATCAAATGACGGACGAAGGCTCAGCGCGCAGTCATCGAGGTCGTGGGAAAGTGAGCCGAGGTCTTATTCGCCCAATTCAAAAGACAAAAGTCCAAGGCAACCGTCCTTCGGTATCCGGTTAAGCCAATCTATAAATCCTTTTCACCTGCCCTCTCAAACAAAAATAAAGTTATGCCAATAACCATTCAACTAATTTTCTTTTATCGAAGGCAGTTGCTGTGACGTATACCGTGATTATGGTAATATAAATTTTATCGTGTAAAACTGATATTGGTGGCAGAATTTGCTCTTGAAGAGAAGGTTGCTTGACATTCTCTCTAGGAGCAGAAGCAATCAACCAAATGGGTTCTAAGGTAATATTGGTTACAACATACGGGGTGTATAAGGGCAATAGAAAAAGTCGAAAGATACACAAAATGTATTTACTGGAGGTAGGGTTAATAACAGGCTGAAAAGTTTATTCATGTCTACAATCTTCATGAACTATTTGAATCACATTTATTATTATCCCAAAAATGCATTAAACGTTCATTCGAAAAACGAGTGAAAAATATAGAAAAGGCAAAATTCTTACCGAAAGTGATATGTACCAGGTAGTTGTCCGAAACCAGATCCTGGGACAACACATATACCCTTCTTTTCTAACAACTGAAGGCAGTAAAAGAAGTCGGGCTCCTGGCCGGCATCCTAGAAAGTGTAAAGCAAGAATATATTAGAATCTTAAGGCTACTCCTATTATGTGGAATATAAGCAACAATAAAGAGTCGTTATTAAGACCTCACCCAGCAGTTTAGGGGGATTTAAAAATGGATAGCTTAATTTTTCCCAGGATAATAAGAATATACCTCCCAATGTCATTGAATTTTATTCCTATGGAGCTATCTCATCTAGAATGAGCCCCAATTTAGACCTCGCCTAGGTCCCATCTACATCCCCAACGGGATTTGATATCGAATGAGAAGCATCGTGGCAGCCTTATTACTATCTTGCTGCTTGGCAGAAGAGATGGCTTATCTCTAATAAAATAGGAGTAATAATAATGTATATTGTTCAAGATGACCCCATAATAATTCTTAAGAGGTATTCACTTTGGCCGCCTGAATAGCTCGTTGTGGCAGATGAAGTCTGGGAAAGGCATACATCGCTCCCATAACTGGATTACAAGAAATACCAGGCAGATTATTCAATGTATCAGTTATGAGATACGCCTTTTCAGCCAAATCCCTCAGGACCGCATCACGTTCTGCAGAGAATGTAGTGTAGGAAGGCTCCTGTTCCTGAGGCGGATTTATGACGACATCCATCATGGCCTGATATACAATAAGAATTTAAAAAAGATGCAAACACTCAAGAAGTTAAATCCAACAAAAAATAATAATGCATTTAAATAAATCATTGGATTATAGAGAATATGTCCTCCTTGGGCGCTTAAGGCGTCAAATATATTCTCTAAAAGCGTTTATGTCATTTGACCAATCATACAGAGCCCAAATAGAACAAACGTATTTGCTTAGTTAAATGAATTATTTGGTTATAATTTTCAATTCGTTTAAAACAGCGAGTGAAAAAGAACTCTTCAATTGGTCTCACCGGAAGCCAGAGGATTGTAGATTTTTAGGAATAAGTTTTCGACATACCGCCCCGCGACCCAGATGAATCCGCGCTTGACATTAGCCTGTCATAAGACAGGCATCGTTAGAGAATCAAACCATGCTCTACAAAAATTATTGAATTACTAAGACAAGAAAGGTGGCAGGCTACAATCCGG